GCAAATGAATACTAATTAATTGATGAAATCAAGAATCTATCCATGTTTCTCTTACAAACAATTTAAAATGCCAAAGTTTAATTCTTTAGTCCATTATCAATTGCTGACATGATTCTAGATCTTGGAATCTCATTCGTTAGAGCTTCTAAATTTGTTCTTATTGAAAAAATGTATAATATTGTCAGTTAAGCATATAAAATTGATAAGTAATCATAATTTTAATGATAGATTATAATCAGATTAATAAGAAATTTAGGTTTGGGATACTGAGAGTGTTTATATAGTATTTAAAGATTAAACTGTAACAGTATGTTTTAGAATCTATTAAATGAATCTTATAAGATAAAGTGATTAAAGATTATATTCTGAAATTAAACATTTCTATGAGAAATATCTTAGATTTATAAGAGAATGTTTTGATAAAAGTGCTTTTTATAAATTCTTTCTAAGATCAAATGATTCACTCATTTTTGAATTTGATAAAAGTGGTCATTTACTATTCCTTTCTAGACCGATACCAAAATAAATCAAATCAAATTTCAATATTCAATTTAATTCACTTTTAATTCATTCCAATTAATTGTCATATAATAAAATATTTGATTAAAATGTTGTATCCAATATTGAAAATTATTTATAAGATCATAAATGGTAAATGATGAAGGATAATGAGAAACAATATGAAATTTTCCTAAAAATTGAAGAAAAAACTTATAAAGGATTTGCTGTGATTTTTACTGAGAATATTAAAGGATGGGTTAAAGAACAATTTAAACAATTAGAATCTGGTAATCAATTAGATTCCAAAATTAAAGCCAAAATTAGAAAATAACTTATTTAACATGAAACTATCAATTTTGTTAACAAATTAGAAGAAAACAATCCAGAAGTCAAAGATTCAGTTGCATCTTTATATATGCCTCTATAACAATTAATTTTAAAACGTTCTAAATCTATAAGAGATATCTAGAATATACAAAATGAACCAAAAATGAGAAGAACAGAAGCTCCATAAAGATCCAAATTTCTTACAGTATAAGAATTGGATCTAAATGAATTTTCTTTAAGTATTTAAGATGATTTAATTGATACATTTGACTTTAATATTATGGATTTAACTTCACAAATTTAAAAGCATAGAGTTGTTTGGGCAATATTAAAAAAAAATGGTCATTTAGATGATTATTCAATACCTTATGAGAATTTATAGAGTTTTATTAAAGAAATGGAATACAATTACAATGTCAATAATAATCCATATCACAATTATGATCATGGTATTACTGTAATGTAAACAGCTTACTACTTTTGTTTGGAATTAGCTTTTACATCTAAAGCCACTATTATAGATAATTTTAATAGATTCGTATTAATGATAAGTAGTTTTGGTCATGATGTTGGACATACTGGGAAAACAAATGTTTTTGAAATAAATAGTTTAAGTGATCTAGCTATTAGATATCATGATAAAAGTGTACTTGAATAACATCATGCAGCATTGACTATTTAAGTTTTAAAGAATCCACAAAGCAATATTCTCATCAATCTCAATCAATAAGAATTTAGAAATTTCAGAAAAGGACTTATTGCAAATATTTTAAGTACAGATATGTCTGAACATTTTACTTTATTAAAAGATTTTGAAAATAGACCAAAAGATTTTAATGATTGTAAAATATTAAGTGGATATATTATGCATACAAGTGATTTTGGAGGAGCAGGAAAAAAAACTAATTTATCTATTTAATGGTCCTCAAGAGTCAATCAAGAATTTAGTATCTAATACAAGTTAGAAGGTGAATTAGGATTTCCTTAATAACCTTACATGAAAGATTTACATATTGTATTATAATTTCTTATATTTATAGCCACATATTATGGCTAAATCAGAAATAGGTTTCCTTAAAGTAATCGTTAGACCTTGTTATGCTCTTTTAAATGAATTTTTGGAGGATAGACTAAAACATTGTATTGCCAATATTGATGATACAATATAGCATTGGGAGAAAATTGTAAAAAAAGGTGAAGAATAACAATAATGAAAACTATATTTATTTAATTTATATGTTGTGTGAGAATTTAAAAATGTCAGAGAATTTTGTGGAGAAATACCCAGATAGAGTGTAATTTTTAATAATAACTAGTCCTATTTTGTTATAAATTAGTCTAAGATCAAGGCTAAGATTTTAAGATTAAACAACAATTAAAAAATACTTAGTGAGCAAATCTGATCATTTTTATCATTTTCTTTAAGTAATACGAGAAACTCTACATTTATAAAAATAAGAAAGCCTTTACTTATTCGTTAATAATTCTGGTTTAATCAAAGCAGGTAATAAATGGATTTATTTTAGAAAGTTAAGTTGATGAAATCTACTAGAAATTTAAAAGTTCTGATGGTTTTCTTAGAATTAATTTAACAGAGTATCCTTCTTTTGGAAATAAATGATACTTACAGAATTCATACTTTTTATTTCAATAAAGCAATATTATATAAGAAATAATAATCCTATAATATTACTATTTTTATTCATATCATTTATCACAAATTTATATGTATAAATCAATTTCTTCTTTAAAACAACTTTGAAATTTATTAAATTATATCAATATTTTAAATCTAAATCATAGGGATTCTTCATTGTTAATATTTCAATATTAATATTATTCTATTTATAGATAATTATATTCTTTACTAACAACAATATAATTTACTATATAATATATATGTCATTATAAATTGAAATTATGAAAGACTATTATTAAATAAATTGTAAATTTTATTATATAATTATTAAAAATGATTAATTTCTTTTTAAAACTAAATTATGAACTAACATGAATTAAGTTCTGATGATTTGGATCTATTATTTAAGGGAATTTAATCTAAATTGGAAGGAAAAGAAGAAATTATAAATACTTTGATTCCAAAATTTTAAGAAAAATACAAATTTTTCCAAATGTCAGAATCATCTAAAAAGTACATATTTAACCTTTATATTTAGATTATTAGGAAGATTTTAACTTAGACTTTCAGAATTGATGGAAAAATGTAAGAACCAAAATTAATTCAATTACTTGGTTGCCATTCAATAGAAATTAATAACATTTAATATCATTCAAATTCTTGATTAAATAAATAACTCAGGAATCGAAAATAAAGCAAAGGATATTGTACCATTATTTAAATAACCTACAAATTGGCAATAAAATAATAAAATAAATAAATCTTTGTTTGAATTTTATGAAGATCATTTTTGGAGATTATATGGCATTTTGTTATTGAATGAGTATTTATATATTTATTTTAAGAGAAAACATAGAAAATATGATACTTTACTATCAATCGAAGCAAGATAATGTTGAACGGTTATTAAAGTTAAGTTTAGAAAGAAATAGATAATTTTTTTATATTTAACAATTAAAATATCCATAATTGGCTACTATTGAAAATAAAGCTCAATAAATGAATTTTTCACAAATTAATTATACTATGGAGACTCCTTACCAAAATAGAAATATTAAAATGTTTGGCACATTAACATAAAATTAGAAATTCAATAGATTTAATTCTACAAGTCCTAAAAAATATTTAAGAAACAATAATATAAAAAATGAATGGAGTCTTGAAAATGAAACTTAGGTTCTTGATATTTTAGATAAAAGACCAAGAATTTATTCTTAAAATAATTCAAATAGCATTATCTTTTCAAATTAAACTGTTAGAGAAAGAACTTAACATCAATCATTTTCTTAAAACAATAATATCAATGGATAAAATTCTTAAAATTAAACTCCTCAAAATAAAAAAAAAATTAGTTCTATTGATTTAAATTGTAAATTACATATGAATTATTAGAATCCTTTAATTAATTTGTAGTATCTACATAATCAGTTTCTCCTAAAAGACAATATAAAAAACCTCAAATTAATTAGAACCTTAATTAGACCTTTTATCAGTAATTATTTCCATCTTAAAGAACTAAAAATAGAGCATTTATAATTATGAAAAGCATTTTGTTTAATGAGTCAAAAGGAATTCATAATTAAGCCTACTCTAACATGTTGTTTAATTAGAAGTAACTAAAACCATGATTTTACTTAATTTATTTATTATTTATCTTCATCTCTATTAGATCAATAAATGTAATTTTAAATACAAAAAACAAATAAATATACAATGCTAAAAGGAATTTCAATTTAAATTATATAATAAAAGAACATTTGACGTATTAAAACACAATTGTTAATATTTTTATTTATAAAATCCTAATAGCCATAATGAATTATTAATTCATGGTCTGCCCTTGGTGCAAAAGAAGTGTAGGTTTCTTAAGTTGTTGTACTTGCCATAAAAAATATGATTTAGTTATCTGCAATGGATTGTCAGTGAATTGCCCATTATGTATAGATGTATAATATACATTTTATTTATGGTAGTGTAAATTGGATACCTATTATCAGAATGATGATGACTTATTGGTACATTAGTATTGCCACAGAAATTATAAACGGATGTTTTATCATTGTTAATGTTGCGATGGTTATTTTTGCAATTGTGTGTAAGACTATTTAAATGATTATTAGAGAAAAATAATTGAAAAAATAAATAATTTTAAATCCATGTCCATGTTCTAAAAGCAAAAAATGACTAAAATTTGAAAGTTCAAAATAAAAATGATAAACTTACTATTTATGTCTGCATAATCCTGGCTAATACATTAAATTTCAAAGTTTATATATATATAAAAAATGTTCTAAATATTTCTAAGTAAGCAAATAAATCTCAACTGCCAAAATCATATCAAATCTTTAAATCCCTAAAAATAACGACTAAAGAAAATTGATTTTTATTAATTAAATTTCTTTATGAGAATTAACATAATCAAAATATTTTTGAGTATTAGAAGAAAATATATTTTAAGCTTCTTTAAGATATTAAAAAAAAAATACATGATCTTGAATTATTATAAAGTTTTAAATAATTAAGTTTCATATTTTCATGCTTTAGGCCTAACAACAATATTTTCTTTATATAAATCTGCATGAATTTATCTTATTCTCTAAGGGGGTCCTTTTGGATTAACTGTTTAGACTATTTATATTTAGTTTATAATAACATACTTCTTGTTCTTGGAGATAATTATCTATCTGTCGACTATTAAATCGGAATAGCAGAATCGTCGCTTGTTTAAACCTTATATTATATAATAATAAATACAAATTTTGCAGCACAATTAAACTATTCTATGTGGGATCCAATATCTTCATTTGATTATCTACAAGATAGATTTTATTGATCTGGATTCCTTGTTGAGTTTAACATATCGGTTAAATTAAAATGAATAGAATCTGCTTCACTTTTCTATATTGAAGAAGGTAATATTTTTATTTTATTTACATGACCTTAACTAAGAGCATTCTATATATAAATGTATAAAATACTTTAGTGTGTCCTTTTTGGTGTGAATTATGAAAATCATTAGAGAAATTGTTTTTTTTATGTTTAATTTATTTAGGAGTTGAATTTTTAATTTCCAATAAATTAACTTAACTAAGTGCATTTTCATAATATTTATTTTTGCTCTTTTATCTAGTTAGTTAAGTTTAAACTTATTTTAATTGTTATTCTTTTTTTAATGATTCTTCAATAAGTAATGATTATTTCCTTTAGAAATCATTTTTTAATTTCAAAGCCACAGCTTAGCATTGTTCAGCGATTTTTTTTTCATTTATTAACTTTTTTGATAATTCATTTCTTTATTCCATTAATTTGTTTTCCTTATCTTTTAATTACAAATCTTATTATTTAATTTAGCTTTCCAATTTTATATTCCAATCTCTAAATTGAATTAATTATTAATACTTTTATTCTTGTAAATGCTTTTCCAAAATTATTTTATCCTATTCCAATTAACAAATTTTTTATGCTTATGATTATTCTCTTGTTTAACTAAGGATTTAATATTAAGTATTTTAGATTATAGTTTCATTGTGCACTTTATTTAGATCTGCAATTTATTATAATAAGCTTCTTTACTAATTTATTTTTAATAATTACTGCCTATTCATGTGAATAGCCCAAATCTAGGATTGTTTTTTATAGCTTTTCTTTTTCTTTTAATTCTTTATCTAATTCAAAAGTAATTTATTTAAGTTATAATTTTAAACAATTAGAATCCTTTGAATAAGTCTATTTTTAATACATATTCGAAAATTGATTTTTAATTATTTAATGCCTCTGAAAACTCTCTGGCTAATCCTTCTTTAGAAATTTCATTTTATTTCAGAATTTAAGTAATTTATAGTTAAAAGTCAGAACATTTATAACATTTTCTACAATATATTTATCTTTATTTATACTTTTCCTTCTTCTCTAATTCTTCATAATCTTGAATCAATTAATTATAATTTTTTTCTAATTTACTAAATTCTTAGCATTTATTCCGATACTAAATATTTACATAAATTTACTTCATATTCCAAAATAGTAATCTTTTCATTTAAAATGGTCTTTATTTTAGAAATTTCTTACTCATGTAGTTAATTTAATAATTGTATTTCTTTTCCTTTGTCATGGTTAGATATATCTCCCATAGCTTTCATTAAAGACTCATTTAATTTTTTTAAATTCGCTTCCCTATCAAGTGCTTCCTTAAGTTGCATTTCTAATAACTAAGATTTATCCATTAACTGTTTATTATAAATTTTAAAATTATATTGCAAAATTATATATATACAAATTAAATGAATTCGGACTCTTGTAGATGGATTTTTGTAGAATAGATTAAAATATTATGCAGTAAGTATTTAGAAATGAGTGAAACCGAAATAAAAGAAAAAATACAATAAGCTTTATTAAAAGAACAAGATCCTAAATAACTATTAAAAAAAATTATGGTTTTAGTTAATGAAATAGAAAAAAATGAAGAAGAGATATAAAGATAAATTGATCAAGTAAAATTATTACTCATTTAGACTAAAATTGAAGAAATTAAAAAAGCATAAATTTAAGCTTTCTCCTATTTTTACAATAATTCAGAAATTTAGATTCCAAGAAATTCATTATATCCATATAATTAGGCCTTGCTTTAGTCAAAACATCCTGACCTAAAAAGATTATCCAAAATATCTAAACCAAATTCTCAAAATAATGATTTTAATAAGTTTAATATACAATCACTTAGTGATGACTGTTTAAAAGAGTCAATGAAATTTATTGATGGATAGCTAAAAATATCGAAGAAATATAATTCAGAAAAGCTTGAATTTAAAGCTATTTATTAATCAGAATATGGTAAAATATATAGTTCTGATAAAAATAATTCTTAAAATTAAGAGTTAAAATTTAATATGAAATCTAATAGCGAATAAAGATATCCAAAATCCGATTATTACAGATAAAATGAAATCAAGACGATTGAACAGAAAAAAAATAATGAAAATGTTCATAATCAATAAAAAAACTAGAGAAATCATTTACAACATCAAAAAGATCAATTATAATAATTAAAAGGGTTAAATATATATTATCCCAATAATGATAAAACTCCCATTCAATTTGGATCTAAATAAAATAATAAAAACATTGAAAATAAATCAAATTAATAGATCAACCTAAGCTGTAAATAATTAACTGATTAAGAAACAAATTTAAATTAATAAAGTATATAAGAATAAACTGATCTTGAATAGAAATAATAGTAATTATAAAGTGATGAATAAACGACTTTAAATTAATAAATGCAATCAGTATAAACTAATAAGGAATTATAATAATAGTATGAAGAGACTGATTAATAAATGTCTTCAAATTAATAAATGTAATAATTATAAACTAATAAGGAATTAAAATAATATAATAAAATAATATAACTCTAAATTCATTAATAAAAGATTTTAAATTCATAAAGTAAATCAGTATAAACTGATAAGGAATTATAATAATAGTATGAAGAGACTGATTAATAAATGTCTTCAAATTAATAAATGTAATAATTATAAACTGATAAGGAATTAAAATAATATAATAAAATAATATAACTCTAAATTCATTAATAAAAGATTTTAAATTCATAAAGTAAATCAGTATAAACTGATAAGGAATTATAATAATAGTATGAAGAGACTGATTAATAAATGTCTTCAAATTAATAAATGTAATAATTATAAACTGATAAGGAATTAAAATAATATAATAAAATAATATAACTCTAAATTCATTAATAAAAGATTTTAAATTCATAAAGTAAATCAGTATAAACTGATAAGGAATTATAATAATAGTATGAAGAGACTGATTAATAAATGTCTTCAAATTAATAAATGTAATAATTATAAACTGATAAGGAATTAAAATAATATAATAAAATAATATAACTCTAAATTCATTAATAAAAGATTTTAAATTCATAAAGTAAATCAGTATAAACTGATAAGGAATTATAATAATAGTATGAAGAGACTGATTAATAAATGTCTTCAAATTAATAAATGTAATAATTATAAACTGATAAGGAATTAAAATAATATAATAAAATAATATAACTCTAAATTCATTAATAAAAGATTTTAAATTCATAAAGTAAATCAGTATAAACTGATAAGGAATTATAATAATAGTATGAAGAGACTGATTAATAAATGTCTTCAAATTAATAAATGTAATAATTATAAACTGATAAGGAATTAAAATAATATAATAAAATAATATAACTCTAAATTCATTAATAAAAGATTTTAAATTCATAAAGTAAATCAGTATAAACTGATAAGGAATTATAATAATAGTATGAAGAGACTGATTAATAAATGTCTTCAAATTAATAAATGTAATAATTATAAACTGATAAGGAATTAAAATAATATAATAAAATAATATAACTCTAAATTCATTAATAAAAGATTTTAAATTCATAAAGTAAATCAGTATAAACTGATAAGGAATTATAATAATAGTATGAAGAGACTGATTAATAAATGTCTTCAAATTAATAAATGTAATAATTATAAACTGATAAGGAATTAAAATAATATAATAAAATAATATAACTCTAAATTCATTAATAAAAGATTTTAAATTCATAAAGTAAATCAGTATAAACTGATAAGGAATTATAATAATAGTATGAAGAGACTGATTAATAAATGTCTTCAAATTAATAAATGTAATAATTATAAACTAATAAGGAATTAAAATAATATAATAAAATAATATAACTCTAAATTCATTAATAAAAGATTTTAAATTCATAAAGTAAATCAGTATAAACTGATAAGGAATTATAATAATAGTATGAAGAGACTGATTAATAAATGTCTTCAAATTAATAAATGTAATAATTATAAACTGATAAGGAATTAAAATAATATAATAAAATAATATAACTCTAAATTCATTAATAAAAGATTTTAAATTCATAAAGTAAATCAGTATAAACTGATAAGGAATTATAATAATAGTATGAAGAGACTGATTAATAAATGTCTTCAAATTAATAAATGTAATAATTATAAACTGATAAGGAATTAAAATAATATAATAAAATAATATAACTCTAAATTCATTAATAAAAGATTTTAAATTCATTAAGTAAATCAGTATAAACTGAGATGAAATTAAAAAAATATAAATTGAAGAATTAGCAATCTCACAAGGGTTGTAAATTTAGTATTTACAGCTATCTCACTGTATACATAGTTCAAATAGTTTTTCTACTACTCTGCATTATCTTGAGTATCCAATTCATCTTTAAAAATTGATATTAAGTTAAAATTTAGCAATCTAAGAATTCCAATCATCTTTATTAATAAAATTTCATTTATTAAAAATTTATAATATATTTTTACAGACACCCGAATTTTCAAAGAGATTATTGTAAAATTATAATCGTTGAATGCCTCTAGCTTGAAATGGTTTCATTTATTTTTTGTATTTCTAAAACCCTTTTATAAGGTTATAAATATATTAATTCATAATTTAGATAAAAGTATACATTAAGAAACATATTTTTGATTATTGTATTTTGTTTCCCTTAAACTAAAACCACTTTAATATAAAAGACTTTTGTCAAACTAGAGTCTAAAAATCTGCCCCTTTTTAACCTGAACAAGCCTCAATTGAAATCCTTTAAATATTAAATAGTGTTCATTTCAACAATGAATTCCCAGTTTAATTCATAATTAAAACAAATTTTTGATAAAAGAAGATTAATGAGAGCTAATCAGGCATTAGTTGAAAAATAAAAAAGTTTTACTTTTGCTATTAGGCAACCTTCATATATACATCAACAAGTGTTTAAACTGGAGAAATTGTATTTTTATTCTGAGAGTAGAAAGCCAACTTTTTATCAATAGTTGCCTCATTCTTATTTATTTATCATTATCAAATTAAATAAACTGTTTTCAGATTTTAAAAGCAAAAGATAATAAATAAGCTATAAAAATATAATCAACCTTTAAAATAAAAAATTTTAAGTTTACCTTAAGCTAATGGAATAAAAAATCAAAAGAGTAATGTTAATGATATACTCTTTATTGGCAATTAACTTTTATGGAAGGATAATAATAATTATATGAGAACTAAAATTCAGAAAGTATTATTCAAACGATTTTCAACAAAATGATGAATAATATAAAAAATATGATTAAAGATGATAATAAATATTACTAATTCTAAAAAAATAAATTTGTGGAAGGATTTTCCCTCTTATTTGTAGTGTACTATTAGAAATCTATTTAGAGATAAGTAAATGTTATGAAATATAATGATATTGATAGGTTTGAATAATTATTACTAGTTCGAAATAGATAAAAGTTTCATTAGAACTAGTTCTATTTATTACTAAAACGTATTTGATGATTAAGGACTTCTAATGACTTAATTAAGTATACTTTTGGCATTTATATTATATACATATATGTAATTTTAATATAACAATAAACAGGTTTACTTTGCGGTTAATTTAACTTGGTTATAAAATAGTTATTTTTAATTAAGAAAATTAAGATTAAGGTATGCGGATCTGCAGAAAAGATATTTTGGAATGAGATTAATAATTATAATTATAATTATAATTATAATAATTTATAAATTATTTATTATTTATATTTAAGAAATGGACACACCAATTGGTAAGGATCTCACAAATTAAGTAATTGGGAAAGTTTATAAATTAATAAAAAGAATTGGCAGTGGTGCATTTGGAGAAATTTATTTGGTAAATAAAGGGAAAGAAGAATATGCCATGAAACTCGAAAGAAGTGATACGAAAAATCCATAAATATTTTTTGAGGCAAAGTTGTACAATTATTTACAAGGATCTGATCCTAATGATAAAGGTATTTGAATTATTTACTCAAAGCCAGGAATTCCTAGAATATATGCTTAAGGCTAAGACGGTGATTATAATTACATCGTCATGGATTTATTGGGTTAAAGTTTGGAAGAGTTATTTAGTAAGAATAATAAAAGACTATCACTAAAGACTGTAATTCATACTCTTTATAATTTAGGTGCTTATGTTGGGTGATCAAATGATTTAACGGATTGAATATATTCATACAAAGCAATTTCTACATCGCGATATCAAACCAGATAACTTTCTAATTGGTTTAGGTAAGAAGGCAACTCGAGTTTACATTCTAGATTTTGGATTAGCCAAAAGATATTTAACTAAAGAAGGTCACATTCCCTATCGAGAAGGTAAGAGCCTAACTGGAACTGCTCGTTATGCCTCTGTAAATACACATTTAGGTTTGGAATAATCAAGAAGAGATGATCTTGAATCACTCGGTTATGTGTTGATGTATTTACTGAGAGGTCAATTGCCTTGGCAAAATATGAAAGCTAATAATTAAAAAGATAAATATTAAAGAATTATGGAAAAGAAACTTGAAACATCTCCAGATGCTCTTTGCAAAGGATTTCCAATTGAAATGAGTTAATATCTAAATTATTGTAAGAATTTAAAGTTTGAAGATAAACCAGATTATAATTATTTGAGAGGTTTATTTAAGGTATATATTGTAAATATTCTAGGATGCCTTTAAGAAAATAGGTTTTGAATGGGATTATAAATTTGAATGGATCAAGGATGAATCAATAGTTAAGACATAATCAGATCTATAATCAGAAAATAAGTTGATGATTATGACCTAGCCATTACAATAATAATAATAATAATAATAATAATAATAATAATAATAATAATAATAATAATAATAATAATAATAATAATAATAATAATAACAATAACAATTATAATAACAATTATAATAATCAGGCGTTAGATTAAATGGCATCGAATCGGATAAAAAAATTGGAAATAATAATAGTCACTATCTCTATTCCTAATAATAATCAGGACTAAAAAGACCTTAATTTTAGACCAACAAAGTATCATAATAGTTATCAGTTGAGAAAAAAAGAACAACTTCTTAAAATAAATAGTTTATTTAATCTATTGAGTTAATCAAACCTGTTACTTAAGTTTTAGCCCCAAAGATTGTTACTACAAAAGAACCACCAAGAAAGTATTGAAAAATATTGCATTATAATAATATTAATAATTATGATAAATAAAATTATTTCTTTTACAGTTTTCCTCAATATTATTATTCAACTAAGAATTGATCTAAAAGTACTAATTTTAATTAGTAATTTAGAATTTGAAAGTAAATAAAAATATTATCAAAATTTTATTTATGTAACAAATTATTGAATTTTGATTATTATAAAAAACTATTAAATCTAAATTAATTTGAAAACTTTTAGATTCAAAATGTTTAGAATTGTTTATAGTAAAAGAGTAT